ACCTCCCAAGGTCGAGCACCCGTCGAGCATCATCTAAGTTCATGGCACCTCGTGCTGAACACGCGTCACCGAGAGCCTTGCGCCGAGCACCCCCAACGAGAACCTAGCGCCGGTTACTCTACATGCCGGGCACCACCTACGCCGGGCACTCCTCATACCGGACACTTATCCCATGTCGAGCATTCGCCACTCGTCGGGCACTCACCCAACCGCCCGACTACCACAATGCCTAGCCGGTCCTCTTCATAAGACAGTGATGACCAGATCACAACCGGTTCCTCATGAGCCGCTACTAACGACCATATCAATTGGTGTCTTGTAAATTATAAATAATTGTTCCCAACCCAGGCACTTGAACTAACTGTTGTGAAAGGTTGTAGTGTGATTTTGAATTGGTTGGTCTTTTACTATTGAATTGCACTAGTACACTCAGTTGTATTAGACGGACCTGCGGATGATAAAATTATTATACTAACCAAGTAAATAAACTAAACCTTAGTAATTTTTGCGTTTTCTTAACTCGTATGACAATAAATTTGGCATTCGCATTCAGTACTTATTTATTTGATTTACCATGGGTGAGACCTATTTTTGTAGGTTGACATATTGTGCACTTTGGTACATAATGTTGAGTGTATGATGTCCCATAGAAATGGTTTACGGTCACAGTGTCCCGATCCGTCGGAGTGATGATGTCCCTGAAATGAACCCAAGAATGATTATTATGTCAAGCCCGCTCGACGGATTAATTTCTGACATAATAATAAAAATTTGAGGGGTACTAGATTCGGATTCGAGAAGTTGATTAATTATATTGTCAGTAATTTAATTAATCAACGGACGTTAAATCTTAAACCCTGGGAAGTAATTCGAGCAGTTAATCGGGAACAAATTATTTGCAATTCGAGAGCTAAATGAGGAGTTTATAGTGATATTTAACATTAATCGAGTATGAGCTGAGTAGGCTATGCCCACATTTAGGCCCATACTTGGGAGCCCATATTTAGCACATCCATAGGGTACCTTTTGTAGAATATAAATAGTCCAAGTCCCCTAGCCCCTATAATAATCAGATTCACGTGAAATTCAAGAGAGTTCTTCTTTTGAGAAAATTCGGACAAAACCAAGAGGTCTTAAAAGAGAAAAATTGTGAAGCTTTGGGAAACCCTATGAGTCGTCCACCTTGACGAATCGGAGTAGATGATCAATCATACATTAAAAGATCTCGATGTCTTGTTTTTGCGGACGGAAATAAATGTGCATCTCGTCGAATATATGTCCCGTCAGCACCTCGGACGACCACAAAAGTTGGAGAACACGACCACCGGAAGAAAGCCCATCCACCGACGTGCCCAGGACCATCAGCCGCAGTCATACGAGGCGGTGCCAGAGCCCTTTGATTATCATATTTTTGTAAGAACAAAATGAAAATAGTAAACTTTTAAAATAGCCAAAATACAAAATATTCTTATTTCCTTTATGTTCGATATTAAGAACTTCACATAACACGATGTCAACAATTCACTTAACTTGTCATGGAATCAAAATGCTACATAATTGTCAACAATTCACTTAACTTGTCATGGAATCAAAATGCTACATAATTGCGCCGTCGGGTCATTAGGGTGTGTTTGTTCCTCAATTATTTCAACTCATATTCAATTCATAGTCAATATCTAACTCAACTTGAACCCGAAACTTTAACCCGACCTCACTATCATCAGTATCATCAATATAATTAAGTAATATCAACCAATCATTCATACATATCACATTAACTTTAATTTACTATTTATCCACTCTCATAATTTTAACTAATCATCATTTTACGTCATCTCTATCATACTTTTACATCAAAAACTTTAATTATTTTATTTTAAATATTATTTTAATATAAACTCAAAATCTCACTATCAACTAATCATACCAACTTTTTCAAAATTAATAAAAAAAAAAAAACTCGTTTTGAACGGATATAATTGTTAACAAACACGCCGTAAGTGCCAGTGAAATACAATCACAAGTACACAAACGAGTACAAGAATCTTTTATTTGCAAGAAAGTAAAATCGATACCATGAATCTTATGTATCATGGCTTCACAAAAAGTTCATGAATTTGAACACATTCGCCATGACCTACTTTCTGTATGAATATACAACGTGCCCAATTGGTACTTGGTCGATAACAGTTGTCATCATATCATGGAATTTCATTGTTACCGTTAGAGTTTCGCCTTCATTAGAGAAGAACACGTCAAAGCCGGAGTTTCATGGCTAGGTCAAACATTGCAACAGGCACTCGAATAAGTCTGCATGAAAACGAGTTGATCTCTCAATGCCATCAATAATAAATTGTTTAGTTCATCCATCAGTTTATTGGATACCTGGTAGAAAAAGCAACACACATTCGGTCAAAACAATATAAGATAGTTACGCAAACGTGTAATCAAGTTGGCCAGGCTAGTTTTTTACCTGCTTCTTTGCTAATGTCAGTTTCTGTAGCAGATGTAATATTTGCAGGGGCACTAGCATTGTTCGTCTGTTTATTTTCTTGCGCCATAGCAGGTTGATTCTCAACTTCATTGGTTACTTGGGGCTGCATTTCAAGTTTTAGCGAGATTTTTATCAGAATATACAATCTTTCCAAAGGCACAAATGGCAAAATGACAGTTTTGACTGAAAAAAAAAAAAACAAACTTCAAAGTAATTGAAACACAAGTTGATGAAAGGCAATGCTTTATCCGCTGAAGGCGTGATAGCCGTTTATTTTGAAGTGGGGAATTTAAGTTAAATTTGTACAAGTATTTGTTGAGTACACTTTCTATATAATCTGTTACGTGAAAGAAAGGCGAAATTCCAGAAGTTGAAATATTTGTTACTCATCTAATAAAAGGAAAGGCGACAATTCCAGAATGCGCATTTCAGATTTCCCTTCCAATTATTGATGTAAAATGCATTTACAAACATCAGATGAGGTCGTAAGTGCAGATAACCAGTTATCGAGATTCAAGCAAAAACATTACTGCTGTCGATTAAGACCCATAAACCTGTAAACCTGCCTTTTTCAATCAGACCAGAACCGATAAAACAACCTATCTTCCCAAAACAACACTGAAGGTAGTTTCTTTCCTCCTTCCCAACATCCAAAGCTTAAAAAGGGACAAGTTAATGAAGAAATTGCTTAACGTAAACAGAGCAGCCCAGCTAAAGAATAGCTACTTTCCACAGAATACGGCATAACCTTGAAACAATTAGAATAGAATCAACAGTCACCAACCTTTTGAGATTCGGCGTGAATTGAGCCACTGGGTACCACACCACTACAATTTGACGGTAGATTCATATTCGTAGTATTACCATTATGACCTCCATTACTTAGTCCCATGGGAAAATTCAATGAAGACTGCCCAGTTACAAAATTTGGAAGCCCTTGACCAGGATGATGCCCGTACAAAGGCAATCTTGCAGGAAAATGCAATCCTTGCACGGGCGAAACTGGACATCTGGGCATGCCACCATTCATATCCATCATGCCCATCCCGAAACCCATGCCCATTCCAATCGCTGGATGATGTGGCATGTGAGCTGGATGAGGCATGTGTGGGAATCCTGTCGAGAACATCATAGGGGGCATGCATAATCCGGCACCCATCGACATAACCTGTATAATCACGATTATTACAGGCTGATTCAAAAACTTGTTTAAAAAAGATAGAATTTTTTTTGATTACCTGTACTTGAAGCTGAAGGGTCTTTAGATATTCAATAGCTTCATCGAGCATCGAAGCTTTATCCGCCTGGATAGTAATGCAGGAAATACAAATGCATTGAAATTTGAACACAAGTTAATCTTGCAGCCCCTTCTCATTGTGAAGATCAAATTTTCATTTTCGAAGGCTGATTTTCTACCAGAAGCTTAAATTTATTCACTGCATCAAGTGCATAAAATGACTCAAAACTGGGCCCCTAGATAATCGGCCATGTGAGTTTAGCCTATGAGAGGAATTGGGAAAAGAAGTATCACTAGGCAAGATATATAAATCCAAGGATGTTTTACCTTATTGCAATTTGGTATAAGTTCCTGTAGAGCACGCATTTTCTCATTGATCCTGTCTCTTCGTCTCTGTTCAAAACAATCCACAAGAAGATCCGTTGTATAATTTTATAGGCTTACAAGTCAAATGCAACTCAAATATATTTAAATTCGTAATTATTCTGATCACCCTTTCAGAAAGATTATGCACTTCTGCCGCCCGGCTTCTCTTTGATCCTCCACCTCGAGCTGGAGCTGGTTTTCTGACACCCAAAGATTCCGCTTCAACATCCTGTGACTAAGAAATAACTTAAATCAAAACCGAATAATATATATACATATAAATAATATAAAAGAGAACATCAAAGCGAGGGTCTTGCTTTCATCACAACTCACATCACTCCTGCATTCAGAATCATCCGCCTCATGAAACTTTCTCTTCAAATATTTTGTCTGTTGGCAAGAAACTCTATCTGCACTGTTCCCCGAGCCCACAGAAGAAGAAGCAACCACAGGCTCGACAAACTTCTCCCCTTGAGGACCCCATTTGCTCGTGTCAGTAGTACTGCTTACCAATACAGACTTCTCATTCTTAGCCGAGTTCTGTTGGCACAAATTGTCCGTTCTTTCTAGAGGACAGGATTCCTTAGCCGCTTTCGGTTGCCCACAACTTGCCTCAGCCGGCTTGGCTGATGAAACACCATTAAATCTCTCAATGATTCCTGATTTCACATCCGGAGCTTTCTCCTTCAACACCTCTTTTTCATGAGAACTCAGGTCCCTGGCTTTCACAAGGTTAGCTGTTCTAGCAAAATGGGAGAAGTTCAGATAATTCGAGCCACTATAAGTGGTACGCTGCCCTATGTTCTGCCTCTCGTTGGTCGAACCATTTACTATATCCGGATGTTTACACATAATATTACTATTATTATTGATATTTTTGTTGTTATTACTAATAATACCGGAAACTCCTGATCCCAGAGTATCTGATCTCTGGGGATGATGAGGCGGAGGCCACGAACCCATTAGGCGAACTCTCGAGGGGCCTTCACCACCACTCTGCAAATTACTTACACAAGACAATAAGCTACTATTATGTGTGGAGACTGGATTAGCCTTGACACAGGATGTCTCGGGTACAAGCACAGAAGCATGATCCTGAGTAAGGGCATCTAACCAAGGATCCATCTCATCATCTTCGCTTAAACCCAACTCCCTCATGGGCTCCATCAGCACCGGTGTTATCTCGTTCAACATACTCTCAACCCCACTCATTGTACTGAGTCTCGACTCAGGATGTTTGCTCGTGTCACAAGGTAAACCATGGTTAACTGGTGTCTTGGGCTGGCTCGACTGACCTTGAATGCTGACCTCACCGTTTCGCCAAATAAGCTCGTCAAAATCATTTTCCGGCCTGAACAAAGCACTCAGTCAATGAATCCATAATACTATTACAAGTATCCATCAAGAATTTTCAAAGGCGACTGAAAAAATGGCTCACCGGGAAGAGGGAGCAGTCGAACATGATCTCTGTTGGCCGGACTCCATTCTCCCGGCCACCATCTTCAAAAACTCTGACAAAGGCATGGTGGAGAACTACAAAGATGATGCCTTGGTAAATTGGTGAGTGAGCTATGAGTATTATTACTTGACACTTGTTAAGATCCACAGATGAAACCAAACTTTACTAGTTGATCTTCAGAGGAAGACCTGCAGAACTAATGAAACCTCTAAGAGGAAATATCATGAATAGATGCAAATGGATAAGATACACAACCAAGTACAGAATGAATTATTGAGCAACCAATTATAGCACCATCACTCACTTATGTCATAACCAGTGAAAAAAATTCATATAACAATGAAAGGGAAACATGCAGAACAGAAGCAAATATAACCAGAATTTTCAAGTCAAAAGCTGCTTATAATATGCTTAATGAGGAAAAAAAAAATACTATAAAAAAAAGAAACAAAACCCACAAAAGTTTAGTTAGCTTAAGTCAAAAGCTTGAAACCCTTTTTTAATTAAACCCAATGATTAGAGGTCTAAACCCACATGAGATTTCTTAATTTATTCAACAAACCCCCACATCTTTCTCATAAAACCCCAATATTGTACCCAACAAAAAAGATAAAGATAAAGATAAAGATAAAGAAAGAAAGCTGAAAAATAAGACAAAAACCTATCCCTATTCAGCTCAACAGAAAAAAAAAATAAAAAAAAAATAAAAAAAATCACATCTTGTTAAAGATGCAATCTTTTTTTTCCCAATCTCAACAACCCTCAAAGTGATTGAACTTTCTTGATTTCGATCAGAAGCTACAGTACTTGACCAGGCAGCTAGTTTACTCGGTTTTGAGCTCCAAGAACCGAAATTGATTTACTTTTTCTTGTTCCTGAATAGTATCTAATAAACAACGCACAAGTGTTCCCTACTATTCGGGGAGAGACAGAGAGAGAGACAGACAGAGAGAGAGAGAGAGAGAGAGGTGTATATAATAATTTGACGGTGGCGGAGTAAAAAGGCACGGCCAGTTTTTCTGCATATATTTATATTTATTTCTAATAGAAATGCTTGTAAGAACATATACAATGCATTGGGTCTAGTCTTGCTTATGTAGTATGTAAATAAACCCAACCCAAGTCTTAAATGACATGGATAAAAGTATGTGAAATAAATAAAACTTACTTCAATGCAAAGAGACTAGGTCTCTACTTGGGTCAAAAATGGACTTAAGGATAGACCAGATCTCTTTTTCTAGCTGCCACATCAGCAGGACCCAGTTTACTTTTGTTTGCGTTGGAGAATACATTTTTGTAGACTAGGTCTATTTCTTATGTGTCATACAATTTTTTGTGATTGAAACTAAAGCATTGTGGATGCTCCATGACATGTAAATAGACTTAAGTCTTAGATGACATCATTGTCTTAAATAGCCCGCTATGTAGCTCGTTATATAGATTTTTTTGGGAAAAACGCGACATAGTCTTATATATTTAGCATTCTTTCCGAAAAAGCTTACGCGAAATGTTGAAACGGCAAGTTTTCTTACGCTATTTTGCGCTATTGTGCACTATATTTCTGCAGCTACATTTGAACAATAAAATATTCAAAAACTCATATTTTTTTTGGGATTAGAGTCATATTTACAAATGACAATTAAAAACTAAAAATTTTGATAATAATTTCAAATTAAAAGTTTGGAAATGCAAAGTTTTAAGTTGAATAGTGCAATATTTTTTGTCCATTTTTATTATATCATTTTATTTTTCGATATTTGACATTTAAAATGAATAAAAAAATTATTTCCAATTGTTAGAATTAAGTTGTAGTTAAATAAAAAATAATAATTAAAATGACTTACCTCATTATATTTTCGTTGTTTTTTTTTTTTACTTTTTAGTATCTTCGATTTATTATTAAATATTTATATTATGGTGATATTTACATTAAACATTTGTGGGAATTAATCCTTAGATGTTATTTTTGAAGTCACTCAAATACTATGATAATTTTTGTAATCAACCATCTATTTTTATTAGATGCAAATATACTTGTAATATTTTTATATATAAAAATATTTATACTCAAATAGCTTACGCAATACGCAGCAGTATTTACGCTACACAGTATAAAGACCAAAACGCGACGCATTACGCTATATGCGTTTTAAAATACTGGATGACATAGACAAAAATATTGAAAAGTAATGAAATTAACTCCAATGCAAAGAGACTAGGTCTCTACTTGTCTGAAATAGACTCAAGGGTAGACTGGGTCTCTTTTTTTGCTGCCACATCATCAGGACTCAGTCCAATTGCATTTGCATTGAAGTAAATATTTTTCTAGACTAGGTCTCTACGTGGCATGTATATTTTTTTGAAAGAGCTCAAAACATTGTGGCTGCTCTCAACGAACTGGAGTTAATTTTTTTAAAGGCGAACCCCTAATTTTGTATTGGTCACAATCGCTTCATCAAATCATTATTTACATTATCTCTCATTCACATTATATCCATGACATTTTTTTTGACTAAATATCTCTCCACTTAAACACATTTTAATAATAAATATATTTTAAATACAAATATATGAGACTCGTTACCCACTCATTTAGTATTATTTTTATATTTTATTCTTAATGATAAATATATTATTTAATTAGAATACTTAATTTTAAATGCTGAAAATAAAAAATAACATTATTAAATAAAATAACTTAAGTTAAGATTACAAATGAAAAATAGTAGAACAAAAAAACAAATTTAGTTGGTAGAAAAATGAGTTCAAATATGCTCTACTAAGTCTGCACGAAGTTGATAAATCTTGACAATTTTCTCTATTATTAGGATTAGAACTTAAAGTTTTTTAGAAAATTTATCTATTATTTGAATCCATTTTTTTTTTAACTAAATGAATAATTGCTAAATTTTGGTGCAATTTATATGTGTAAAAAGAATGAGAGAACATAAAATGTAAATTATTGATACACATCGAAAAATGTGATATTGATAAAATTTAAATTTATCAATATTTATTATATATCTATATAAAGAGAGAACCTATTGACCAAAAATAGTAACAAAAAAAAAATCAAACAACATTTATTGCATTCTATTTTCGATAGTTTTTAAATTATTTTTATTAAATTATTCCCAAAAAATCGATCAACTATATATGAACCCAAAATTCATGGGTTTTGTGGATTTAATTTTGGTAAATTCAACTGGTGCTTACAATTTTACAAAATTCAAAGTTCTTTTTAATTTTTTATTAAAAAAATTGATTACCATAAAATCGGGGATTTAGGCAAAATATTATCAAATATGTCATTTCCTAATTGGAACAGATCAATTGTTTATTAAAAAAGAATCGGATTGCATATAAATCAGGTTAATTTAGGTAAAATTCATGCCAATTTTGTAAAAGTAAAAAATCTCTCATTTTTTATTAAAAAAACATGTTTACCATAAGATTGATAATTTCGAATTAGGCAAAATACTATGACATGTATCTTTACCTAATTGTAACATACCATGTTTATTAAAAAAATATATTGCATAGGAATCGGGCCCAATTTCAACTTCAATATTAAAATTTAACAATCCTTTATCATTTGGTCACTACGTTCTTTAGTTCGATTTTTTTTAAACATAAAACAGAGTCATATAATAATAATTTGAAATTCAAAATGGAATCTGATTGAAAAATCCTAAAAATTTTGGTTTTGTTTAATCCTAGGATACAAATTTGAAATTGATTGCATACAGTACACATTTTGTCCATTCCTTAAATTAAGTAATTTACAATTTTAAAATAATAAGACTATAGATTATTAACAAAGACGTTTTACAATCTCTGCTATATTTTACTATGTAGTTATAAAACCAGTATAAATTATATCATATATATCATTCTAAATAATTTAATTGATTTATTTAAAAATATCTAGAATCTTAATATATATACGTGTCAAGTGTTTATTTTCTTAGATAAATTTTACACAGAGGTAGGTTGTTTTATGTTTAATAATATATAAGTTACATTTTGTTTTATTCCAATACATGCATTCTACGTTCTTCCAATCATTCAATCAGTTAAATCTATATGTTTACCTTAATAAAACTAGCTCGTGCATCACACAGGTACCGCCCTAGCTAGTTAGAAAATAAGACATAGATAAAAATAAGGGTAAATAATTTTTTCCAACCTGTACTATACGTTGCTTTTGGGATTTTCAACCTAAAGTATTTTTTTTTTTTTGGTAAAATGCAACCTGAACTACATATATACAATTATTTGCACGCTCGACTACTTTTTGACC